TGGGTCAAATTTTTTATGTTTAATCAAGTATGACTCAAGCTTTAATATAAATATTTATAAAGCTGAGATGATCAGTGGCTGCTGAAATATGTACACTGTGTCAAAACTTTTTGAACCCCCCACATATAGCTAAGAAAAAATCTATTGCAATGAGGCTATGCCTCTACACTTGAAAGTGGATCGAGCTTCTCATAAATTTTGTGCAGACAGTAATGGTTTTGTAGTCATCTGCATACATTGCATACCAGACATTGGATTCCAGTTTCCTGGGCATATGTTGGTCAAATTCTGTCTGCTTCAGACATAGGCATTCCATCCACCATGAATTAATGAAGTCAATAGGTGTGGAAGGGGCAACTGGGCAATCACTGTACATGCTTAATAATATCACATGCAAGTTGTGCCTTAGTATTAGGATAATCTTGAAGGCCCTTAATATTAATGTCATTCCAAAAGAAAGGTGCTTTGTCATAAAGCATTTGAGCTTCATCTATTAAGATGTCTGTTGGCTCTGTGCTATGAAGACAGTTTGTCCAAGTTTCTCCAGCAAATTTTTTCCAGGCAGCATTAAAACTGTCTTTGTTTTCCATAGTGCTGGGGATGTCACTCACATGTGTCATTGAGATATGCCAAACAACACAGCTATTGTCCTTGGTGTACAGCTTGAACCGCTTGGCAAATGTTGTCTTTCCTGAAGCTGGTGGGCTACAAAGAAGATTGATTTTGTGTTGATGCCATTCCCGGTCGAATTCAAACAGATGCTCTTCAGAAATAACCACGAGACTGTCAAGACCAATAGCCTCTTCATAAGACCGTTTTGTTGGAACAACTGCAAGTTGAGTCTGGTGAGTATCATAACATAGCTTCCATAGTGCATTCCTCAGACTGCCACTCTTTATAATAACATTCTCCCAAAAAAAACTCATACTACGTCTACTCTACCCTATGTACACACTACTCTATGTTCCCAACGCCGAGTCACAAAGTCGTTACCTTGCTGAGCAGTCGCTGCCGTGAGGGCTCGCTGCAGCACCTCCACCTGCTTCAAACGATCCTCCTTCGCCTTCTCCAGCTGCTTCTTCTCCGCAGCAAGCTCCTTCAGCTTTTCCCTCTCGTCCTCGTCAAGTCTTTCTCTTCTCCGCAGCTTCCCTCTTAAGTCGTCCAGCCACTTCCCACCGTTCTCGTCCTCCTTAAACGCCTGTAACTCGTTCTCCGCCTTCTGCTCCTTCGCCTTCGCTTCCGCCAGCTCTCGTTCGATCCTTTCAACGCTTGCCATTTTTCGTTCGTTTTTTGTTTGGTTTCGATGGAAGGATGTGCTGCTGCGCAATATGATCTAATCCCGTAATATACTAACGCTGATCAGTGGCTTAATAGAAGCACTAGTCGCTTACTTTCAGAAAACCCAACCACAACTCGATAAATATCGTTGAAGCAATACAACGCTTAAAGTAATAAAACAAATCTGTCGATTTCCACAATAACTCTACGAAAAATGCTTACAATCACAAGCAAATTCT